ATTTGTTACTTTATTTTGAAAGTAGGAATAGTAAATGCTATCCCAATGATCTTTCGGTGCTATTGTGAAGATTAACTGAGATAATGTCTATAAAAGCATTGTGAAAGTGGAGAGCTCTATCTAAACAGAAGATATCATTATCAGTATATTAAAGTCACTTTAGATAAATTACAGTATACTATAAAGCATAGTGAAGTAACTCCATTGCTAAGGAAAATAAAAGTTACTTTTTTTTGGTTACTTCAACATTATTACAGTGCAATTGATATAATATCGACAATAATTTTTAGGCCATATATTGTGCCTTAAGTAAGAGCCAATAATTGTTGAAACTTGTAGTGTGCTAGGGACTCTTCTGAATACCTTCCTTATATTGATTTATTAAATTCTCACAACTTTATGAGGTAGATAGGGTTATTATCTCCTATTTTATTGGGAATAAACTGAGGGATAGAAACTGTGCGACATGGTTGCACGGTTAGAATGGGGCAGAGTTAGGCTTTGAACCCAGGCGGGGGCTCTAAGGTTCGTGGTCTCAGACACAATTCACACTTCTTATTATAAAGATCCTCAGTTGCATTTTTTCTGCCTTCTGCTCTTTGTCTCCCATAATGTGATATCTACTAAATAATATTTTTTTGAGTCAGTATCTTACTCTTTTGCTTAGGCTGGAGTGGTGCAGTGGCATGATCATGATTCACCACAGCTTCGACCTGTTGGACTCAGGTGATCCTTCTGCCTCAGCCTTCTGAGTAGCTGGGACAACAAGTATGCACCACCATACCCAGTTAATTTTTTGAGTTTTTTTTTTTTTAATAGAGATGAGATTTTGCTATGTTTTCAAGTCTGATCTTGAACTCCTGGACTCAAGCAGTCCTCTTGCTTTGGCTTCCTAAAATGCTGGGATTATAGGTATAAACCACTATGCCTTAAATAAATAAATATTTAATGGAGGAGTTAATCAAAGTAAAAAAGTATGTATATGATGAGAGAGAAAGGAATTCTGTTGAAGATACACCCTTAAAGAGTTAAGGCTACTGCTTCAAGGCCTTGTGCTAAGGACTCTTTCTGAAATTTTTAATACATCCATATTCTCAATCAATCTTTTGTAAAGACATTTGAGGTTACATACTTTATCCTCATTTAACAGATCAGGAAACTTAGATAAAGTGATCAGATAACTTGTCCTAAGTCATAAAATTAGCAAGTGAAACAATCAGGATTCAAATTTCTCTTTTCCTGGTTTTAAAGACATTCTCCTTTCTAAGATTTTTAGAAAGGAATAGAGGGAGAGGATTACATACGTCTCTCCTTTCCTTTTTTGGGAGTCATGGCTGAAGTTAAGGGGCTGGTACAAATGGGACATGACATATTTCTCACATGTCAGGAAAAGTTTGAGACTCACTGCAAATTATGCTACTGCCATTCAGCACTATTCATTTTTCATATAGTGACATTTGATTATTGACCAGGTCAATTTCTTAAGATGTTTATTCTTATTTATGCAGATATTTTAGTTGGCCAAATACCTACTACAATGTATTTGTTAAATCTTTCTGTTATAAATTTATTTTACATATCATACTTGCTGTTCCAAAATACTTATATCTATAGTATTTATATGATTTATCTAAGTTGAACTTAAGCTTTAAAGCTTTAATTGTCCTATTATAGAAAAGCTTTTAGATACTAATGATTTCAGCAATTGTATGGGGTTATCTTGTATTTTTTTGCAAGTATTATTTCTTTTGCATTTTTAAAAAAAATAATTCTTGTCTTAATTCTAAAAATAATTCTGTAGGAATCCCATAATTTGATCCCCTAGAGAAAAATCATAACCTTGGGATCTCCTGTAATTTTCATCTGGCTTTATATTAACTTTTGCATAGATTCCAGCTTCTTTTTCCTATATTTCTCCCTATGTTGTTTTGCTTTAAATCAATTCTCACTAGAAGAAAATCAAGTTTAGGACTGGGACCAAATCTTTCTTTCCTATAGCCCCTTATTTGTATGTCTTATCTGATGAATTGGTTGTCTTATGTTCTTTGATCTGAGGATACTGTGAATATCCCTTAAGTGTTTCCAATACATTTTTATTTTTTCCCCTCACTTTCAAAGGTATCAAATGAAACCTACTTAAAAGTATATCAAAAGCACCTTTCCCTCTGAAATTAGTATTTTTCATGAATTTTCTTTGTCTGGACTACTTTTGTCACTTCTATTCCCTACTTTTTCTAAACATTTTCTATTATGGTCAAATATGTCAAGTTTTTGTTTTTGCGGTGTCATCTAGGCCACCTGCCTTCACTTTGGTGTCATTTCTATTTCAGTGTCTCATAACAATTGTTCACTGTTCTTTACTCTTAACTCTTCACTGGAGCTTTTACTATGTTTTTAATCCCATTTTCCCCTGCTCATCTGTATAGGGAATATCTGAATTATGTTATAAAGCTCTTTTGGTTGTTTTCTTTTTTATCATAATAGAAAGAAATGTGGACTTTTCTTCTTAGGAGGTTTTAGGCAGCCTATTATAGTAGAAATGGAATGAGCTTTAAAGTTAGATCACACTGAATTTGAAATCTGGTTCTATTACACAGTAGTTGATATTCTTAGGAAAGTGGTTACAATTCTCTAGGCCTTCATTTACTATTCTATAAAATAATGATAATAATAGTGACCTGACCAAATCATTGAGAGGCTTAAAAAATGCATGTGTAAAACACACCATCTGGCACATATAAGTGCCTGATTATTACTGGCATTGTAATGATGGTTTTATTATAATTATTTTAAGGTAGGTCATCACACATTTAAGCTGAGAACTAGTTGGCAAATAGTGCTACATTTAAAAGAGACATAGCAGTAATTAAATACTAGTTCCTGCCCTTGAGGAGTCTATCATCTTTTAAAGAAAGTAAAATGTATACCAAAACCAGCCAAGATATATACAATTATTTGTTGTTTTGAAGGTTGCTATCTGATAGCTGTAAATATTATTAAATGACTCATATAATATCATCTATGGTTTATTCATGTTCTTAAGATAAGAGAACGGCAACTTAAAGAAGGTTAATATGTTTACCCCCAGCCTACCTAGTTGATAAAGGAGCATACACGGATGGGTGCATAGGTCTTCCTATCTCTAAATGATGTCCCTCCGTGCTCTCCTGCTTCCATGAGAAATGCAGCAAGTATTATAGGACTTACAGGGGGTACCAAAACCACCAAAATTTATTTCCAAAAATGATGTATTTATTCTTACATGTTTAAACTGTAGCACTTTCAAAGTACTCTCTATTAGATGCAGTACACCTATTGAGATGCCTTTTTCATTGCTCAAAACAGTTTTTGAACTTGTCAATTTTGATGCCTTTTAATGCTTCTGCTGTTTTTTTTTGTTTCACTTCTTCCATATCAGCAAAATGTTTCCCTCTTAAGACATTTTTTCATCTGAGGAAACAAACCAAAAAGAAAAAGAAAAGTCACTCAGTGTAAGATTGGATGAATAGGAAGGGTGGGGCATGGAAGGCATGCCGTTTAGGGTCAAAAACTGCTGAACACTCAGTGCGGTGCAGCGTGGGCGTGTGGTGTGGGCAGGTGTGCTCTTAAATCACCTATCATGAAAAGGGCAAACACATTGACAAATCTCCAAAAATAACTCACTGACGACAAATGCAGCCCCTCACAACAATGCTAACTGGGACACTGATGCCACTGGGTTCTTTGAACAATTATCTACGGAGTGGAAGCCTGAAGTTTAAGGGGTCTGCCTTGCAAAGGATAATTCCAGTTTTTTCTGGATCCACCCTTGTACATAGTAACTACCTCTGGAGTCCTGAATTGGCAAGATGAGTTTTTTTCAGGGGGTGATAGCAAGAGGCTTCTTGGAGGAGGACACACTTAAGACAGACCATAGAAGTGGATAAGATTTCAAAAGGAGGGGGTGAAGGAGGAGAGTCATAAATAAAGGCAAGAAGTTGGGTGCAGATGTTTTCTCTGATGTGTTTTCTGGGAGTGTTTAATTTGGCAGAGTATACGTGAGGACTAACAGAAAATGCTAGGATATACGTTTGTTCCAGATGAGAGGGAACTTGGAATTTTTCTGCACAGTAGACAATGTGAAAATTTAAAGGATCTGAGTGTAATGATATGGTCATACCTCTGTATGAATAAGGCTCACTTTGCAGAATGGTGTAGGGTGTTCTGGAGATGAATAGGGTGGATCAAGAATTCAGGTGAGAGGCTCTTGCAAGAATCTAGAAAAGACTGAATGAGAGCCTGGCTTTGAGTGGTGAGAGAAGGAATGGAAAGGCGAGGACAGATGTGAGGGATATTTTAGAGGTGTCATGGCAGTTAAGGTGAGAAGACAGCGTGCAAAAAGTTTCCAGCCTGGGGTTCACAGGGAACAGTAGTTCCAATAACAGAAATGATGTCACTAATTTCAAAAATAAAAAAGGCACATAATTGTCTTCACAGACCCAGTGGAGCATTTTGCGCAGGACCATCAAAATCTTGTACTCTTAGACAAAGCCCCAAGTGGGTCTTCATGCTAGTCTATAAAGTGGCTTGAATTTTTTTCATTGTTGTACCTTGAGTGCTAGCACATCGCCTTCCATTTGTATTAAAGGGTCACTGTGGAGGGAGTGTGAGTTTGTACAATCTGTCAGAGCTGAAGCTGTTTGATAAACTCATGGGACTCTTACAATTCCAATCAAGCAAGTGTTCTGCTTGAGTTTCTCCGTTTCCCAGGATGGATGTCAAAGGGAGAATGCAATTTTGGTTTGTGGGTCACTGACTAATCCATGAAAGGGAAATCCCATGAGGGGGGAGTTCGTTTTCCCCAAATGTTACATTAAGTTGTTTTTGTTATAAATGAAACAAAATATATGCCATTTACTGGAGGGTAGTGAGAGGTAAGTCCTTTTAGAAATGTTGCTATTGCCATTTAAAGCTTTGAGTGATGCTCACTTTCTTTTCTCCCTTCCAATTTTCTCGGTCAGTGTTTGTCAGGTTCAACTCCAGCCATGGTTTCCCAGTGGAAGTCGATTCTGACACCAGCATCTTCCAGCTCAAGGAGGCGGTTGCTAAGCGACACGGGGTTCCGGCTGACCAGTTGCGTGTGATTTTCGCAGGGAAGGAGCTTAGGAATGACTGGACTGTGCAGGTGAGTCTCCCCGGGCGGACCGCTCCTGGGATGCAGCCAGCACCATTGCTTATGCCGCTGACGCTGCCAATCTGACATTCCTACCTGAGCTCTAATAGAATAAATAGTACCTGGGGATTCCTTGAACTTTACTCCACACTGCTTCATTAATTCTGACCTTCTTAATTATGCATTAAAACAGCAAGCAGGAAGGATTGGAAGAACAACCGTGAGTGAGAGAGAGAACACACGAGCCGGGCTTAGTGAATAAATGTTTACTGACTACAGGAGCGGCATGGCACAATTTCTGTCTGTTCAATTTCTACCTTACTTATTCCATTTGAATCTTAATGAAGAAGGATTCAAATAAATTGTTTCCAATCAGGCTGTTCAGTCCCTGGGCTGTGAGGGATTCCTGACCCAAGTGTGACCCCTGGAGGATAGTCAAGGCTGCTGCCACCCTGTGCTGATGGAGGTGCAGGCACCAGGCCCCACTCCCCACGAACTTTGAGAATTCTCTGCCTGGGATCAGAATTGCACACTCCCACAGTCAGTGGGGAAGGAAGACTGGTGCACTGCAAAAGTACACCTTTGTATTTCATTTCTCCAAGCTTCAGTAAAATTGCCCCGGGGTATAGGTCCCTGAAGCATCATAAAGTGAGCAGTGCTCTCCTTTCTCCTGGTCCCAGAGCTTCCGGCACACCATTGCTCCTAGCGCCATGCAGGCCTTGCACACTTGTCATCTGGAGTGGTGATTTTTGTTGTAGTCAGGGCCTCACCTGGGAGTAGAGAACAGTTATTTGTTGGGGAAGCCAGAAAATAAAATTCAACATGCATTGAAGTTATTCTTTGTGAAAGCAGGCAAGACTCAGTGCAGTGAACAGTCCATGTGACTGTTAAAGATACTGCAGACACCTTTCTCCTTTTTCAGAGGGGCTCCTGTGTGTGGGTACAGCAGGGCATCCTTGTGTCTACATCCTGTTACAGTCTCTTCTGGGTGATGATATTTACTGCTTTGTGAAATGTTCTCAGTATTTGGGTACACAAAGAAACCATAGAAATGCAAATTGTTCCTGTCATTCTCCATTGCATCCCCTGCTGATGGTGGTGAGGCACAGACTCATTGTGCACAAACTGCTGTGCTTTGCTTTTAGGCAATTTGGTTTTATAAGGGAAGTGCGTGTGCTAAAAAGTGTTTTGATTTTTTTTTCTATTTCAGTCAACTAAAAAGCTTTTCACTGTACCTGTCAACCTCTAAATCCAAGAATGTTTTCTTCTCAAATAATTTTAAAAAACTCTTTGAGTCAAATCATTTTATATTGCCAGTACTTTTAAATTCTAATGCTACTTACCTCTTCCATTTGGGCTGATTGATAAAACAATTAGCTATTTTATATTTAGAGAAACTAATTGCTGCAGATGATTGATTTTACATACATATATGCATAAAATATATATTGATTTAAGAGTCTTTATTTTGACAAAAACTTCTTAAGCACTTTCAGTTTAGTGTTTCAGACTTCTCAAGGGATTAAAAAAAAAAGGTGAAACTCAGCCCCTGCCTTGGTGGAGACTCCTTTTATTGAGGGACTCTGAAACCAAAAGAAATATTAGACTGAATCATATGAAATTACCATTTTTATAGGCTGAAATTATCAGCGATTTCATGTGGTTCAACTTAGTAGCTATAATACAAGGATGTCAAACATAACTGCCATGTCACAACTGAAAAGTAAGTGTTATGAAGTTTTAAATGTGGAGAAAACATATCTGTCTGAGTTACAGGGGAAAACCTCATGGATGAATTGAATTCAGGTAGAATTCCGTAGATGGAGGGACAGGCATAGAGAATGCTTAGGGAGAAGGATGAGTTTCCGTTCTTCCAGAACCTAAGAGGCATGTTGAAGATTGAACAAGAAATGGAATTTGGAGCTACATTTTATAGAACATTGACTGAGTTGGTATTGAGTTTCACTTGTGGAAAACTAGAACACAATGGGATGAAGAATGGGAAGTGTGACGATCCAGTTTGACTGTGGGAAGAAGGATGAGATTTCCATATGAGGAGAGTGGACAACAGAATGTATGTCTAGAGACGGCGAACTGGCTGTTGAATACTTAAGTCTGAAATCTAAAAAAGGAAATGATATTTATGGAATTTTTATTAAATCATAGTTCAGTGATTTCAGTGTTGTGTTCATATAATAGTTTCATTGTAAAGACTAGGATGTTACATATTTAATTGCAAGAGAATGGCTCTATTTTATTTAGGTGTGCAATTGGCAGAATTCTAGCTTCCTTGATATTCTTGTATAATCTTATAACATATATTTACAACTATTTTGTCACTACCATTTAGTTATCCTTTATGCACAAAATGTGTAATGAAAAGTTGATGCTGAGAAAAGGAAAATGAGCCACTTTCACATATGAGCCACTTAATGCTTCCACGTTGGTGTACTAAAAAAAAAAGATGGAGTGGCAGGGGTGGTATGTGTTTGCTGGGTATTTCCTTCCTGTTTTTATTTACTTTCTTTCTTTACATAATTATTATTGGTAATATGACTAGGCATATACATACTTATGTATATATACATATGGTCACTCCTTGCACAGTTGAAAGTTTGTGTATAACATATATGTATATATGATATAATATCTACGTATTTAGCTTATCATGCAAAATAAGATATTTTGAGTATGAAAAAAGAGCCTATTAATAATTATTCCAGAACAAAAGGTATATGCTGGGAGTATCCTGTGCAAACTGTGACACATGGTCACTCCAGACATTAAACAGTATCTCGTGCACTTAAGAGTCTCAATTTTTTTTGTGAAGAAAGTATTTTTATGCTTCACCTCGAGAACTTTGGGAAATGGCAGTGTAAGACCATAGTATTATGAAATTCTATAATTTATTATTTTTAAAACTGAGTTTGTCTTTTTAACTGGTGAAAGATATTTGTAAGATTATAACTGACATCACAACATTTAAAAAATTTTCATAGAATTTTCAGTTCCTAGAGAGTATATACACAGGACATTTTGAGAAGCACTGTTAGATGATAATTATTTTCTTTAGACACTAATTCCACTTTTGTGATTGGCAAGATCTTAAATTAATTACAGGAAAATGTAAAAAATAATATAAGCATTGGAAAATAGATGATCTGATATAGATTCTGCTCTGGGAAGCTGGAGTAGACATACTTTTCCCTATTCCTTCCATTAAGTATACAAAAAAATCTAGACATTGCAACCAATACAGTTGACCTTTGAACAATGTGGGAATTAGAGGAACCACTCCCCTGCACAGCTGAAAATTTGTGTATGACTTTTGACTCCCCTAAAAGTTAGTTACTAATAGACTACTGTTGACTGGAAACCTTACCAATAGCATAAATAGTTGATCAATACATATTTTGCATTTTATATGTATAAAGTGTATTCTTGCTATCAAATAAGCTAGAGAAAATAAATATTATTAAGAATATTATATGGAAGAAAAAGCATATTTAATATTCATTAAGTGGAAGTGGATCATCACAAAAGTCTTCATCCTCATCACCTTCATATTGAGTAGGCTGAGGAGGAGGAAGAGTAAGGCTTGGTCTTGCTGTATCAGAGGTGGCAGAGATGGAAGAAAATCTGTGTATAAATGGACCTATGTAGTCCAAACCCATGTTGGTTAAGAGTCCACTGTGCAAACATTTGAAAATTCTGAAAGGTGGTGAGAAGAATGTGGACTGAACTGGGATTTTAGGACCCAAGGAAGGAAACGAGGGTGAGTTCCTTGAGTTTTCTTTTTGAGTTTTCTTTTTACCACAACACCTCAGATTTGGAAGTGAAGAAACTGGCAACCTGGAAATGCCAACATATGCAGACAGAAAAAAAAAAGGTGTGTGTGTGTGTGTGTGTGTGTGTGTGTGTGTGTTGTTCTTTATTCAAAGGACTTGAAAAAGGGCTGCCCAGCAACCCAATAAACTTTTAGGTAATAACCAGTTTATTCCCACCAAACACCATAGAGAAACTGTAGCCCTGTCTTCTTGCTAGTGTCTCACCAACACTAGCAAAGGCTGAATGGACAGCCCTTTATTTCAGATTTCTGAAATAAAACACTCACTGGATGCTTTTAACAGAAGAATGGAAGGGAGAGAAGAAAAAAGGCAGTGAACCGGAAGATGGAACAATAGAAATTACACAGTCCAAACAACAAAGGAAAACTAGACTGGAAACAAAAAAAGAACAGAACCTCAGAGACCTGTGGGACTCTAACAGAGCATTTAAAATTTGTAACATGGGAGTCCTGGAAGGAGAGGATAATAGTGAGCAAATATTTAAAGAAATAATAACTGAACACCTCCAAAATTTTGCAAGAGACATAAATTTATGTAACATAAGGCAAAGTGAATTTAAAATAAGAAAAATCCAAATAAATACATACCACAACACATCATAATTAAACTTCTTAAAACTAAAGACAAATAAAAAAACTTGAAATAAGTCAGAAAAATATCTATAGGGGTAAAACTGTTTTAATGACAGTGAATTTCTCATCAGAAACCATAAGAAGCTAGAAGTGGCACAATATTTTTCAAATGCTGAAACAACAGAACCATCAATTGAGAATCTTATACCCAGTAAAAGTATCCTTCAAGAACAGAAAAAAAGTCAATATATATTTAACTGAAGAAAACCTAAGAGAATTTGTCACCATCAGAACTACGCTAAAAGAACAGCTAAAGGAAGTTATCTAAATAGAAATGAAACAATAAAAGAAGAATTGAGGAATATCAAAAAGGAGCAAAGAACATAATAAGCAAAAATATGGATAAATATGATGTACTTTTCTCCTCCTCTTGAGTTTTCTGAATTTTATTTGAGGATTGCAGCAAAAGTTATAACTCTGTCTAATGTAGTTATAAATATAAAAGAAATAGGGCAAATATATTGTAAGCAGGGATGCAAGGGAAGGCAAGATTTCTAAACTTCACTTAATCTGTAAAATGACAACTGCAGTA